GACGACGACGAAGACGACGCCGACGCCGCCGCCGACGCCGCCGACGCCGACGCCGCCGACAACGAAAGGGACGAGGACGAGGGCGCGCGCGGAGAGACCGCGCCCGCACGCAACCCAGGAAGACGGACTGGGAGGGCCCCGGAAGACCCCCTGAGACAAACCAAAATTGTACTTTGTCCCCCCCCCTCGGTGCGCCAAGGGGGCCTGGCACACCGAGGGCCGGAGGGGCGGGGGGGTGAGAACGAAGAATCGTTGACAATCAACATAAAAAGGGACAGGCGCCCTCGCCCTGCTCTCACGGTCCCCCTGCAGTGCCTTCGGCCACGCGAGCGGGGGGACGAGGACTGGACAGGACACATCATGCGGACTTGGCAGCACAAGCCAGCATGCTCGCGCCACGGGGTACAGCCCAGCCCTCCAACCCCCAAATGGACCCGGGGGGGCGAAGAGGGAGAGGCAGGACCCACGAGCATACCCACACCACTACTACCAGGATGCCGTCCCTGCGGCTCCATCGCAGCTCGCTCGGCCCGCTAAACACTGGCCGCGGGCTGTCGCAGATGGCCCATAGCTTTCAGCAGGGCCAGAATATGCTGCTCCGTCTGCGCGCACCCCTCCCTCCGGGGGCACAGGGAGTCGATCTCGTCGGACATGCGGGCCAGATGGCAGTGCAACGCCTTCAGCCCCTCATTCTTCGAAGTGTTCTCCCTCAGCACATCATGCATCGTCTGCTGCGAGACTTCATTGATCTCCCGGCACAATGTGTACAGACGGGTCAAGCTGTCCAACGTGTCGTTCCCATCTGCAAGTTTCACCTTCAGAGAGTACATCTTGTCGTGCCGAACGCATCTCTTCTTGCTCCATCCAGACACTGCTGCCGGTCGCAGTGTAGGCTCAGCAACTCATCCACGCGGTGTTCGGCCTCCAGGCACTGCCAGTGCTCCCCATGGCTTCTGCCCTTCATGGCATCAAGCTCCACGCTGCGATTCGTAATCTCATTGAACTGCTTGTCCAGCTTGGCGTTCAAGCCGACCTGAGCGTCGGCCAGGAACTCCACGACCGCAAGCTGCTTGAGCTCCTCGCGCTTGTCCCTCTCGGCCTCGTTGAGCTCGGCGCACAAGTCGTTGATGACGAGCTGCATCTGCACCAGGCGGGCGTCCATCTACAGAAACTGCTTGGCATGCTTGACCGCGTCTTCCCCGAATGCGGCAAGCTGCTCCACGAGTTCGTGATTCTTGACCCTCGTGGTCTCTAGATCGTTGACGTCCGCATCCTCGGGCCGAACACCACGGGCAAGGTCATGTTGAATGTTTCCAGGTAAGCACACCCACCCACATCTATGTCGCTCGGGCCGTCCGCCTCGCATGTACTTTCGCACGCATGCCTTTCGAATGGGTGCAAGCCAAGCTCGCAATGTGGAGGAGGAGAAGGGGCAAGGCTCGCGCGGGAAAAAAAAACTTGTTGAAGAAACAGCTGCGTGGGACAAGCTCCGTCCCTCAAGAACCTTTGAGGTACTGCGCCTACACCTGCAGAGCCTGAATCGGCAACAAGACCGTAATCCTGTCCATCTGGCGGCAGTCTACCAACAGGAAATTAATCCACAGCAGGCCCGTGAAATTGTGGTTCAGCAGCTTCCGGAGTTTGCTCTCCACTATATTGTCCCTGCGCCTCGGCACAAGCACCAGCTTCATTGACGCCGAACTGACCGAATAACATGTCGATCCTGGGCGTCTCCAAGTAGATCTCGTGAAGGAACCGGTCGTACTCCGCGGCGGGAACCCCCCACACAGCAGGGGGCGAGGGACGCATCCCTGGCGGCGACGCATGGCCGGACCTGTTCGTCACCAGGCTGAGCTCGAGAGCCTCTCCCACTGCCGTCTCTAATCCGCTCAGCTGGGCGACCTTCGCTGCGTCAGTCAGCGATGGCAAATATCCGCGGACGGCGTCATCCAGCTCCCAGTGGGCGCACAGGGACCGCCGGAAGAGCTCGGTTCGCCGGCGCACCGCGTGGGCGCGCGGTCGTGGTGGTTCCCGCGGCGATGGGGGAGGCAGCGCCCCAGACGCTGGTGGAGCTCACGCGGGCCGGACTCAGCATCAATGAGGGCAAAACCGCGGCGTGGACCTGAGACCCGGCGACGCGAGTTTCGCCACTGCTCGAAGCGTTGCGGACACCAACCCTCCGCTGCGTGGGGGCCACCGCGACCTGGGTGGAGCCAGAAGACCCGCTGGCGCGGCTCGCTGTCCACGGGAAGGCCGACGGCGAAAGAGGCCGCGCGGGCCGCAGAGCGACTGATCACCCGACTCCAAGAACTGCGGGGCGCTGGGCTCGGGGCGAGGGAGTGCTTCTGGCTGCTCCAAATCTACAGCAACGGCTGCGTCACGCACCTGCTTCGCGCCAACTACGAGGACGGGGACTGGCCCACCAGGCTCGACAGGACCTGCATAGAGTTCGTGGAGGACTTCCTGGGCGACGTCCTCGACGACGACCAGCGGGCGCAATGTTTCCTCTGGTTGACCGACGGGGGCCACAGGGCCCGCCTCGGCCGCGCAGGCGGCGGCCGCTGCCCACCAGGGAAGCTGGGGGCTTACCCTCCGCAGCGTGGGCGCCTGCCTGGACGAGCCCTCCTGGGCGCGGTTCAAGGAGCGCTGCCCTCCGGTGGCCGAGGCCATCGCGAGGGCGGAGACTTGGCTGCAGGCGCAGAGGGGGGTCTCTCGAGGCGATCAACTGGACCAGCTGCAGGCGCGAACCACTTAAGGGGATACAGGGAAAGTGGGCGGGCGACCTCTGCAGCAAGGAGCGCGAGCGGCTGCTGGCCTCCCTGGGGACAGACGACAAGGTGGACTTCCGCTCGTCTGGCGGCCCCGGCGCGGGATGGCACCTGGAGCCGCCCGGAGAGACGCCTGCTAACATGCCTGACGAACACTTCCGCGTTGCCCTCAAGGACAAGCTGCGCCCGGCTGTGTGCCCGCTGGGCGCAACCTGCAAGCTCCGCAAGGCCGACGGAACACTGTGCGGGAAGGCACTTGACCGACGCGGGCGCCACGCCCTCAAGTGCCCGTGTGGCCCCTACCGCAACAACAAAATCAACTGCGCTGGCTACCATCAGCGGGCCAAAGGACACGCAGCGCAGACGGAGCAACGGGTTGTTGCTTGGGACAGGGTGAACCCGCGGACGGGGCGCCTCGAAGAGGCGCGGCTCGGCGTCGCCACCCGCGACGCAGTGACTGGCCACACAGCGCACTTGGATACGAGCGTGACCTGCGCACACAGCGCCACCGCGCCGCGCCAGCAGGCCCACTCGAACAAGGACGGCCTCGCCGTGACCAACACAAAGGACGCCAAGCGGGAGCGCTCCCGACGGGGGCCAGCTCATCGCTGGGATCTTCGAAACAGGGGGCCGCCCAGGAGACGCCACCGTGGCGTGCGTCCGCTCATGGGGCCGCGACATGGCCGCTGCGGAGCGGACAGAGGTCATCCGCTATGGCTGGCAAAAGTTGGGCACGCGCTTGCATCTCGGAAACGCCGAGGCCATCTCGGCCGCTGTGGGGCGGTGAGAGCGCTACCAGAAGCACGCCGCCGAGAGCGAGCGTCACGCGCAGCGGCACCGGAGCCACCAGCAGCTCCACAGCGGCCAAGACGGCCGTCAGTAGCCGGCAGCTCGACCACCACCAGTGCCGCCCCCACCGCGACCACCTGCTCGACCACCGCAGCCATCATCACCATGAAGCCCACTACAGCGACCAGGTGCTCCAGCGGCCACAGCCACGCCCACCGCGACCAGCCCGCCACCAGCATGACCACCGCGCCCGCCCCCGCCCCCCGTTCCCGTTTCCCCCTTCCTCTCCCCTCCTGGGCCGCCCCTGCCACTGCGCTGGCCTTTTGCCTCTCCCCCTCTTCCTTTTCCTCCGGCCTTTTGTCCCTTCCTGCTTCCTCCTTCCTCCTCTCCTCGCCATGTGTGTCATAATTCCCAACCCTCCTGCGTTGGGTTCTCGTTTTGAATAGAGCACTGCTCGCGCGAACCTTCCTTCCTTCCTTCCTTCCTCCCTTCCTTCCCGTCCCTCTCTTCCCCCTTGCCTTTTGCCTCGCTCGTCGCTGCGTGCCAGCTGGGGGGCTGCGATTTGTGGAACTGTCGCCACTTTCGAGGCCTGCTGGGGGGCCCAGCACAGTGTGCACCCGCGGCGGATTCAAATGGAACCTCGCCATCCCTGGGGGGCTGCGATTTGTGAAACTGTCGCCACTTTCGAAGCCTGCTGGGGGGCCCAGCACAGTGTGCACCCGCGGCGGATTCAAATGGGACCTCGCCATCCCTGGGGGGCTGCGATCTGTGAAACTGTCGCCACTTTCGAGGCCTGCGGGGGGGCCCAGCACAGTGC